TTCAGATTATTCAGATGAAGAGCTTCATGGAGAGTCATTTCTTGGCCTTGGGTTTGGAGTGTTATATGGGCTTTGGTATGGGCTTGCTTGGTGAGTTGAAGATCCTTCTCCTTCTATTGTTTCATTAAATTCAATTTCCTTCTGCTCTAGGATGGAGTTATCATCTCACTTCCATGCTGTCATTTCATCAAATATGACATCTCTAGAGATTACCAATTCATTTTTCATTGGATTGAACAGACGATATCCTTTTGATTCGTCGCTATATCCAATGAATATATATTTCTCTCCTTTCTCATCAAATTTTTCCCTTTTTTGGGAAGGAATTAAGGCATAAGCAAGACAACCGAATACTTTGAAAAGATTTACCTGGGCTTTTTTTTGTGCCATGCCTCATATGGTGTTTTATTTTGGACAACCTTCATGGGAGATCGGTTTAGAATATAAACAGCAATATTGACAGCTTCAGTCCAAAATTTGTTAGGAAGACCTTTGCCTTTTAGCATGCTTCGTGCCATCTCCACAATTGTCCAGTTCTTCCGTTCTACAACTCCATTTTGTTGAGGAGAGTGTCGAACTGTGAGTTGTCTTTTAATCCCATTTTCTTTACAGTAATTCATGAATGGAGTATAAATGAATTCTCCGCCACGATCTGTCCTCAACATTTTGATTTCTTTGTCACTTTGCTTTTCCACCAAAGCTTTAAACTGCAGAAATACTGAGAAGGCTTCTGATTTTCTATCAAGAAAATAAATCCACATCATTCAAGTATAATCATCAACAAAAGTAGAAAATATCTCTTGTTACCAAGAGATGGTGTTCGGCAAAGCCCACAAACATCTGCATGCACCAACTCCAAAGGTGCTTTGGCTCTCCAAGAAGTCTTTGGAAATGGTAATCTATGCATTTTTCCATAAATGCATCCTTCACAAATTTTATTGATTTTGCCAATGTGAGGCAATCCTATAACCATATCTTTTTCTTTTAATAATTTCATGCCCTTGTAATTTAGATGTCCATATCTAAGATGCCATAGATATGGATCATTGGTGTTTTCACTTTTAAGGGCAAAATTATCATTTAGTGGCATTACAAGAGAAAAAACTTTGTTTGGAGTCATTTTGACTTTTGCCACTATATGATTTTTCTTTTTGTCAAAGATTATGCATTCATCATTATTAAAATTTACTGCATAACCTTTTTTTATTAATTATCAGAGATTATGCATTCATCATTATTAAAATTTACTGCATAATCTTTTTGTACTAATTGCCCCGTACTTAATTGATTTTGGGTTAGCCCTGGAACATAAAGAACGTCATAAATTAATTTTTGGTCACCTCCCTTTGTATGGACAGAGATGACTCCCTTTCCTTCAACATTTTGTAGCTTTCCATCACCAAGCTTTACTTGAGAAGAGACTTTTTCAATCTAGTTGCACAAAAATCTTGTGATTGCCTGTCATATGATTACTGCATCCACTATCCAAATACCAAATATTTTCTGACTCTTGTTGGGCATTCATGCAAGAAAATAATTGTTCTACTTCATTTTCTTCAGAAAAATTAGCTTTGTCTTTATCATTGTTGAACCAGCAATCACGTTATGAATGATTTGAATTTTTGCATCTCTTGCACCTAAATCTGCAATCTTTAGATGCATGATTAAATTTCCTACAAATAGTGCATTGAAAGTTAGAGTTACCGCTGAAATTTCTTTGACTGTTGTAGTCTCTTCCTTTGTTCTGATCTTGAAATGAGGTTCGGCCTCCTTATCATTTTCCGGTCGTGCTCCTTCTTTGAAATGAATTCCTTCCTTGATTTTCTTGCTTCTTGTCTCTAATATTGACTTGAAATGCTTGCTCCATTGACTGATTTGTAAATCTGCTCATTCTTTGTTCATGTGCCTCAAGAGAACTCATTAGCTCATGTCTAGTAAGTTTAGACAAATCTTTGGATTCCTCGATGGCAACAACAATATGCTCGAATTTTTTAGGTAAACTTCTTAAAACTTTTTCAACAATTCTCTTGTCATCAAGGTTGTCTCCATAACTTCTAATTTGGTTGACAATTCCAGCAACTTAGGAAAAAAACTCATTAATAGATTCAGTATCCTTCATTGCTAGATTGTCAAAATCTCTCCATAATGTTTGTAGTTTAATGGAGATGACCTTATCAAAATCTTGATATTCACACTTTAATATATCCCAAGCTTCTTAAGATGTTTTTGCACCCATGATTCTAGGAAAGATAGATTTGTTTACCCCTCGTTGTATGTTGAGAAGAGCACTTGCATCCTTTTTCTTGTTCGTCTTGTACTGCTTGCGACGTGCTTTTGTCCAAGTTGCAAGTTCTTCATCATCTGCTAGTGCCTCAAAACCATCTTTAACTAGTTCCCACAAGTCTTGTGAGACAAATAAAGTTTTCATTTGGACGCTCCAATATTCATAGTTCTCTCACTCAAATATAAGGATGAGAGTTTGTGCATAGTTGAAAGTGGAAGAGCTTGCTTCCATGCTAGAATGGTATTTGAAGGAAGAGGTTTGGAGGCTTTAGAATAGGTGAGGGGAACCTGGCTTTGATACCAAAATTGTTGGGGTGACAAGGTATAGTTGATAAGAACTTGGGCAATCTAGGAAGGGAATTATAGAAGAAGATAGGGTAGAGATGCAAATATAAGAAAACTTCTTCTTATTATGTTGAGTACAAGTCAAGATTCTTGCATACACATTTACAATTAGCTCATGACTTTATATAGAGAACATCATCATCTTAACCTCTTCTAGAAAGGTTCTAGAAAGGTTTGATATTTTCCAACATCATTATTATACATTTTTAGATATTTCTTTCATTATTAAATATCTAGATAGATTGTTTCAATCTATTAGATATTTCTAGATAAATATCTTCATAAATTATTCATTAACTGCTCTAGATTTTTCTAGATTACAAATTATATTTTAACATAATTATGGGGTTTGCTAATTGAGTCTCTGACATCTGACATTGGTGAAATCATTGGTCAATGCATTAGGGAGCGGGTTGAAATGGACAACGGGTTGAAATGGACAAAGGGTTGATCAACAAGAGAAGGTTTATTTGGATACAAGTTAAAATTTCAATCACCAAATCTCTCCATTGAGGTGGTGATATTGCTTTGGGCGATGGCAAGAAGGTCTGGATTGAATGCGAATATGAAAGACTTTCTTATTTCTATTTTTACTGTGGCTATCTTAGCTATGATGAGAAAGGGTGCTCATTGCAATTCAGGAGAAAAAAAGAAAGGAATACTAGAAGAATTAATTATGTCCCTTGGATGATTGCTTGAGGATGGCAAGTAGTCAGGGGTAATCATCAATGGCGATTGAAATCGTCTAGTTTTAAAGATTATACTTTGGAACTAATACCCTAGGGTCAACTTGATAGGGAGACATGGAATATACTGGTTTCGGAGGATAGATCCCTTACTGGATGTGACCTAAACCATCGTGTATGAGAGGAATCACATGAGTATGAGAAGGAGTAAGAATCAAGGTTGATTGAAATGAAAGAAAATGCAGTGTATCTCTTAATAGATGCTAATTCAGGATGGGAGATTCGCTTTCTAACCACGTAATGGAATCAAATTAAGAAAATAGGGCGGGAACTTCTTTTTAAGAAGAGAACAATTTTGGCACTAGCTTAGTGAATATTAAAATAGGAAACACAATCTCTTCGACATATGACTGAGCTCCCTAGTTCGAATGTTTGACAAGAGCTACCAAGGCACCAATTGCTATATTTAGGGTTGGACGCTAGGGATCCATAATTAATGGAAATAAACAGTGTATTATTTCTTTCACTCAAGAAATCTCCTTCATAGTATTAACCACACTCATTTGGTTCTTGTACCTAAAGTTCGGTGCCTCATGAATATCACTCAGTCGGATCTAATTATTTTATGTAATACGACTTATAAAATCATCTCAAAAATTCAAACTAAACATTTGCAATGAATTTTACCTTATATTATGATTAACAACCAGAGTGCCTTTCTATTAGGTCAACTTATTATTGACAATATTGTGCCATCCCAGAAAGTAATTCATTATATGAAAAGTAAGAGATCTGACCTGAATTTCTCTATGGAACTTAAGTTGGACATGAGTAAGGCTTACAATAGGTGTTGTGGGGGGTTTTTTGGAAGCGATAATGCATAAAATTGGCTTCGCAAAGGGTTGGATTCAGTGGGTTATGGAATGCATTTCTTTAGTGACTTATTCGGTGTTGATCAATGGAAAAAAGCATGGATTTATAGTACCTTCGCGGGGATTGAGACAAGGGAACCCTTTATATCCCTATCTCTTTCTTTTGTGTGTTGATGCTTATTTGTGAAGCTAAGGAGTAAGAAGGGAATGGTTACATTCATGGTGTTCGTATTAGCATGGGAAGTTCTTCAGTTAGCCATCACTTGTTTGCTGATGATACTCGTAAGTCTAATGAGATGTAATGTAAAAAATAGAGATATGTTGTGTGCATAGGTGTGCTTTAAGCCAACTACTTAACTATAAAAAAAAATTGGTGTTATTTTTCAATAAGAACGCTAATGTTTCTCTGCGGCATACACTTAGTGAGCTATAGGCTATTTCTATAAGAGGGCTTCTCTTGGAAAATATATTGTCCTTCCAATAGATGTAGAAGGTTTGAAGGTGGAATTGTTCTACTTTATCAAGGAAAAAGTGCAACAACAACTAGCAAGATAGAAGGAAAAAATCCATTAAGGATTCAACATTGCCTTAATTGGTTCCCATTTAACATTTAATGTTAAAAATCCACTTTATTGAGACAATAGAACCTTAAACACAATTGCCTAGTAACTATTTATCTTGAATTAAATCTGTAAGGATTACTCAATTGTTGCCAGCATACTTACAATTGTATTTGTCCTTCGAAGAAGGAAAAGCCAACAAATATTAATTTTGACGTGATATACTAAACATTGCTTTCTATTATGAACTTCTGTTACCAAACATTTCGTGATATTGTTCCACGGGCTAAGAAGAAGAGTATTAACAATTATCTACAAAAAATGTTGGACACTTAGAAACTAGCATACACATTGTGTATCGAACCAGACACATGTAAGTTGGTTCTTGTGTCTAGTTCAAGACAAATAAGTACATTTCATAATTTATAAGTCATTAAACTTATTCTATTGACACGAGGCAAAGGTTTCAGCACAAGGTTGGTTCAATGTTGTGGATCCATCTGATCACCATAATCTAAAGATAAAAATTTCTATCATATGATCTCTCTGTATATTTATTTCTACTGACAGTATTCAGTGGTACATTCACCCTTGCATAGCTGTAGAGAATCAACAAGTCTCCCTAGAATTATTTTCAAACTACGCGTGATCAACGCAAAAGAAGGTCTTATATCAGGATCTTCATCCCATGAAAGTTGTATAAGGTCAATGAGATCTTTCAGTTGGTGATCATCACCCTTAGGAAGTGCAGGCCTTAGACTACCCTCTGCAACTTCCATGGCTATCTGTCCACAATAGACCAAAGATACAAACATTAATATTAGAAACATACTACTATACATTCGAAACAAAATGACTTGATGATCTGCACTACACTGCAAATATATCTCCATTCAAATTAATATTATTTACTTAAATGACAATGAATTTCATCATGTTGTAAGAATTAATTTCTTGAAGCATTTATGGAGTGGTGGTTTTATACCTTGGAAGGTCCATAATCTGTCTCAATGAATGGGTGTTCACCACTAATAAGTTCATTTAGTATGATGCCGAAGCTATATACATCACATTTTTCATTATAAGGCTCGCATCTTATCACCTCTGGGGCCATGTAAACATAAGTTCCTGGATAAATCAACAAAACAAAAATGATGTGTTAGCCATATATACCAAATTATGCAAGAAATTATAACTTGAAATAACATGAGAAATATGGGGATTGAATATTGTAAGGGTGGTAAACGACATTCTATTTCTTAGTATTTTAGTGAAACCTGTTCATATAAGTACAATGGCATTGCTTTCATCGATCCATATGCTCCAACAAAAGAAATTAACTAATATATACAGTTTTTATTATCTTTTTTTTGGCTTTTGTTGCTTGCCTGTTTCACCAGTGAGTGCCTTTTCTTCATCAGTCAAGAGTCGAGCATGACCAAAATCTGCTACTCTTACATGCATTGTGTCATCAAGAAAAATGTTACTCGGCTTCAAATCGCGATGAATGACCTTTGGCTTGTGTTCATGAAGGTATTGCATCGCTTGAGCAATCTCTAGTGCCTTAGCCACCCTTTCTTCAAAAGATGGAAGGGGGACTGCCCTTTCTTTTCGCCTAGTGCCTAAGCCATGCAGCCACTCCTTTAGTGTTGTGCTAAAGAATTCAGTCACAACCCAACCGTGGTTAGGGGGGTCGAGGCAGGCACCCATTAGCTGGAGTACAAAACAATGGCGTTGCCGTGACAACATTTCTACTTCTTGAGCAAAAAAACTAACTCCGTTCTCGTTTGAATGGAAGAAATCAGGGTTTATGCATTTCACTGCAACATCAAGTCCTCGCCACGTTGCTTTATATATCTCTGCAGTACTTCCCTGGGCCACTTTTCCATGAAGTTCAATCTGTTCCCAAGTCCAACAGGAACAGATGAAGATGATATTGGTAATGATACAAGCATGATAATGATATACATGCAGCAGGTAAATGAGACTGACTCACCTCATGTGGCTCAACATACCATCCATTCGTCTTGGCTTGGTTAATGAGAGTGACCAAATCACAATGGTGGTGGTGGTGGCGGCGGTGCACTAGAACTGGGGGTGGGGGTGGTGTTTGAGGACTTGTACTGCCTCTCATAATATTGAAGGAAATAAGGCATTTTTCTTGATAAATTATGTCTTTATTGTTGGTGATAGTGTCCAAGAATCCATTCTCTTGTGCCATCTGAAGACAATACCTGAGGTACTCTTGTGTTCTTTCCAACCTCCTCTGGTAGATGACCCTTAGTTCTTTCTGCTTTTGGACTTCCTTCTCTAGTTCTGCCACCTTTTGCAAGCCATTGGATTTGAGAGTTAACTTAGGAGGACACAACAATCAATTTGCAATAACAAATGGTTAAATTTCCATGGCATGCTAATGATCATTCGACTATATGCATTGATGATTAGTATGTTTTTAAGTACCCTTCAGACGTACTTGGATCAAAGGGTACCTATTATTAGCATTACAAGGTCATTTAGGATTGGGTTGCATGCGTGTCTTTTAATTACACTCACCTCCCTTTTACAGTGAATTTTTTTTAATCGTTTTGTTTTCACATTATTGGTATTAGTTTTGGTACCTTTGGTCTTATTGAAAGGGAGGTCAATTTAATTATACAAAATAATGGGACTTGTTTTATTTTTTCTATATCTTAGGGGAGGTCAGTGTATTATTATTATTATTTATTTTCATTTTTTGTCAATCAGTATGTGAGTAATTATAAATATGAGAAGTAGTACATCAAACTGACTACTAGTGTAACAATAGCTAGAAAGGCAACACAATTACCAAGCTCAACAGCCACTATTAGCCTAAATTTGAGAAAATATATACTACAAATAACCCCTATAGGAGTTGAACTTATAACTGATACCACAAAATAATGTTGCACAACTATTAGATCAAATGTTCTAATTAGAGGTTACTATAATTTTCCCTAGAGCAATGTTGTTTAGGGACGATGTATACAAAATAACCAACATATTTTCTAGATTGTAGAAATGTAGGATATTGATGATGTAGAAAATATGATAGGTCTAGATTTTTCTAGACAAACAAGCCGGTAAAAGAGCTCTATGCATGAAAATTTATTAAATTGTCTCAAAATATTATATGGTGTTACTTTTTAATAAATAAGAAATTACAATTTACATTAACTGAATTATTTTTTTGTCTCCCAATTAGTAACAAAAGTCAGTTATTATATCCCACTTATAATATTTTCTATTACGTAATTGAATTAAATTATCACAAAAATAATGCTCCATAGTGCTCTGGAACCGAAAACCTGAATTAAGTATGCAACAGATAGATTGCAAGCACAAGGCATGCTATCATTAGCCTAATAAGAAGTTTCTCTTATTTGCAATATTTACCATGTTCCTTTCTTAATTCCTTCTGGCTTGCACAAACTTTTACCAAATTTATTTTGTAACCTACAGCATAAAGACCATCAATGCCCATATACATAGGGCAAACTATATCGATAGTCCCTGTAATTTGTCAGATATTTCATTTTAGTTCTTACAATTTTAATTAGTTCAATTTTGACACTTCATTTTAGATTTTATATCAATTTGGTTTAATTGAGAACTTCGATTACGGTTTTTAAAGAAAAATGATCAGTAAATTAGTTGAAATTAACTCATTGAAATGAACAAATTTATAAATTTGCCTATAAAAGCATAACTCGTGCCACTTATGTGCATATTTTTCATTAAAAAGTGCTAATAATTGTAATCAATTAGATCAAATTGAGAAGAAAAAAAAATCATAAATTCAAGATTAAAATCGAGTTAATTGAAATTACAGAGATCAAAATAACACAAGGGCTAAAACATAAGGATTACTAGTGTCTTAAACCCGAGTTGTTTATGTTAATTAGTACTCGTTACCTAATACTTGTATTGTTTGCGGACTCATGGTAATGATAGGTTTATATTTGACCTTCAATTATTATAATTCAGACATTTTTCTAGATGTCTAGAAGTGATTGATGTGTTGGTAATTTGGCTATCTAAAATTGGACAAAAAACTCCAAATTCGGATATTTATTTTTTAGTAGTCTTCACTATTTTTTCATTTTCTCTTTTCATAATTTTAATTTTAATGTGCGGTTAATGAAGTTCAGACGAGGGAGTTATGTTTGTTCAAAGTTTGGGCATCAAAGATGTCAGTATAGTTCGCTCGAGCATACTTTTCACTGCTCAACTAGCCCGTAGACTTAGACAACTCTGATTTTCAAAAATAGAGATCCTTCAAGCACCTAATCACTGCTTGAGTGCACATTTAACCGCTTGAGCAGTTTGTTCAACTTTTGTGCATGAAAAATTGAGCTCTTGGTCATATTTGTGGGCCAAAGCTACTTTTATGGTTGCACTCACTACAGGAAATTACACTTTTATCAACTAAAATTTTAGTCGTAAAAAGGCTATTTTTAGTAGGCAAAAACATTTTGTGACAAAAAATTTTGGTCACCACTTTGGTCTACGATAAATGGTTGCGGAAAGTAATCTGCGACTAAAAAAATTCATTACTCAACAAAAATAAGTATTTGATAACTAAAATTTTTGGTAGTTAAAACATTGTCACCAAAAGTACTATTTTCCTGACCAACAATATAGTCAACAAAAATATTGTTTTTGCAATTAAAACTTTAGTCAGCAATTATATGAATTCGCCAACCAATACTTTTAATCGCCAAAATTTAAATAATTCAAATTAATCACAAAAAAACATGATTTATGCGACTAAACCATGTTAATTCAAAATTTTTTCTACTAATTTAGTTTGTAGTCAAAAAATGTGATCTTTTCATGACAAAATTATTTAGTTAGAAAAAGTGGTCGGCATGCTCTAAATATTTACGTATCACTCTCTCTATTTCCTCTTTATCTCTCTCTTCTCTTTCTACATTCTCTCTCTACCATTAAGCCTCCATTAAAGCTTGAATTTAACCAGCTTAGAGTGAGAATTGATCTCCGACCCAAAGCATAACGTTGGCGATCTCGTCAATGGCGATATTTCCATCCAAGCCAAAAAGTTCATCCGATCCCTTTTTGATTTTTGGATTTCTTCTCTTTTCTATTTAAGGTAGGGTTTCCTTTCATTGGTTCAATATGTGTTTATGGGTGTGTGTGGGGTATTTTAATAGGGAAAGTTTGGATATTGATAGAGATTTTGGAAAGGCATGATAGGAAGTTAGGACTTACGAATTGGTTGAGTTTTTCTTTATATTTTTATTATCAAATCTACTTTCATTGTATAAAATAGCATGAGAATGTTTTAATGCCAAAAAGCCCTAATTTTATCAAAACTGTAATTGTGAAATTGAATAATTTTGAGAAATTATGTTATTGTGTTGAAATTGGAAAAAATTGTGTATGATTATTGAAATTTTGTCTTTAGAGAATGGCATTATTGTAGATATTGATACAATAGGTTGGAAAAACTCATTCATTATATTAGTAAATTGTTGAATTTATGAAATTGAAAACCCGATGAGGTTGGGGGTAATTTGGCTCAATAATCCATGGTGAAAGATCAAAAATCCATGCAGTGTAGGTACCAAGGTCCTTCCAGTTAGAAACTGAAAAAATTGGTGGTAATTAGGTGACGCTTACCGATAGTCACAAGCAAAGTGTTGCTTTAAATAGCTCACTAGATTAGATAGTACTTAGCGATGACTACTGGCAAATATATGTATTTGAGAGGATTCATCAAGTAAATAATAATGAAATTGAGAAACGTTAACTTAGTAAATATGTATGGTTTTGATTATTGAGATTTGATATAAAGCTTTTGTGAAATAAGAAACCGTTTTGAGCATACTATACATATATATATATATATATATTATGATCCTATACATGTATAGAGACATATTATCTTATGAAAGATTACCCTATTAAACTATATGTTTACTCTACGTGGATGAAATCTTTTTAGGTGTTGATGGCATGTCCTAACTTTGACGCGAGCCGTATGATTTGTGTATAGGCTATGAAGAGCTCTTTTGATTTGTAGGCCTTGGGCCCCTTTTTGTGTAGGCCAAGTGCCGTATTTTGTAAGGGTTATACTATTTTTCTTGTTGTAAGACTAAAGGAATTTCAAATATATTTGCTGTTATTATTTTTGAATTAACTGTATATTCACTCGACTTAAATGTTAAATATAGGATGTATGCAATTGAAGAATCTCATTTACTAAATGACATTGTTATATCCATATATATATATATATATATGAGAGAAGCCCTTCTTTTATAATTAGACATTGTTATATCCATATATATATATATATATATGAGAGAAACCCTTCTATTATATTTAATATTATCTTTTCTTTATTATTTATGTTCAATTGCCGTGAGTTGAATCTTAAAAATTCGGGGTGTGACAACAACTGTGAGTTCAAGCCCCATAAGCATGGTTTTAAAAAGCGGCCGCAACCGTTACGTAACGCCGTTACGTAACGGTTTTGGAGGTTACTGCCACCCGTTACGGCCGTTTTTGCAGTGTGATTGAGATTCACAGGTGTGTCGGCCGTAGCGGCTGCCGTAGCGGTCGTAACAGTGCCGTAACAGCTGTAACGGCCTGTTACACACTGTTACGTAACGGTTCCAAATTGTTTCTTTCAAAAAAACATACAAAAAAAAGTTGAAAATTGGGGAAAAGGGATAGAGAGAAGAGGGAAGATAAAGAGAGAAAATGGAGGAGCAAGAGATAGAGAGAGAGAAGAGGGAAGATGAAGAACATGTTATTGATTTGTTGAAACTGTAAAACCTATGCTATTCTATTCAGCTGCTATCACTAAACCATTTTGTTTGTGTGTGTCTATCTATATATTGTTTGGAAATAATAATAATAATAATAATAATAATAATAATAATAATAATAATAATAATAAGTGTGGTCATTATCTATTTGGCTTGGTTAAAATATGTATATATATATATTTAGGCTCTTATTTATTCTTTTACTTTTATCATTGTTTATCTTATATATAATAGTTAGCGATTGATTTTCTGTATAATATAAAGTCATCAATTATTAAAATAAAATGTAAAAAACTCAGTTTATAATGATTTAAAAATATGAAATATATTGGATCATACTTAAAAATTTACAAAAATTGATCAATATTTATTTTTAACCCAATAAATATGATCATGGAAAAAAAAATATGCGTATCACTAAGTTTTTTTCAAATTGTGCGAAAAATTAAAAAATTCACGGTTCCGATTACCGCAACCGTTACACTACGGTCTTTACACCCCGCAACCGCAACCGCGTCACCGCTACCGTTACGACAACCGCAACCGCTTTTCAAAACCTTGCCCATAAGTCTCGGCGAATTTAATAAATACAATAAATTCACCTCTTCGTTTTTTTGCCCATTGAATCACTTAACAGTAAAGCTTAAGGTAGCACATGCATGCAGGTGGATGAAGGAAGCTTCTGCACAACAAACAATGAATCTATAGATCCCATGCCGTGTTAGACGACCTGTACTATCCAAATAGGTTCCAACAATCATAGGCAAAAGGGAGGGCGTAGGTTGCCTTTACTATGCTGTGTTTGGTTGGAGGATTTGGGAAGGAATTTGGAAAGAAAAATAGAAAAGGTAAGTGAAATGTGAATAAAACATGCATATATTTCACTTAGTTTCACACACCTTTTCCCTTTCCCTTTTCAAATCTCTCCTCAAATTTTTCAACCAATGAGAATATGAGACAGAGTTGACTCCTGTGGCCTCTCGACAAAAGAGGAAGGAATTAACCCAGTCCTTTTTCTCAACCCCAACAAAATGTAAGAGGAAGGTCCATTATCTTCTTTTGGGAAGGGCTTAAAAGTACCATCATCAGTTCAAGTTTCAGACAACCAATTCACTCCGAGGAACTTCAGAAAAATATTTTCATTCATCATTAGTTGCTAAAAAAGAATAATTCTATAGACATGAATACTCTTATTAAAAATCTTACTAAAAATACAAAAGCTTAAAAATGATCAATTAAAAAAAAAAAAAAACTATGATACTTGGACATTCATGATATTTGAACGAACATGTGCTTTGGTAAGATTTATAACAAGTATTTTAATGCGTGTAACATTGCTCACTAGAAAATGAATTCAAGCTTACCTGTTGCTCAAGCTTGGGAGTGGTATGTTGATGGGGTTGTGAGACCGAGACCGTAGACCCCATAACTATGCAATCAGTAAGGCCTCGACAACATCCGATTCTAGCGGTAGAGGTAGTGGATTTCCCTTTTTTTGTCGTCGTTGTTGTTGTTGTTGTGATGACGGCCACTGGTGATTGTTGGGGACTAGATAGAGTGGTCTTATTCTCCTCTGATGCATTGTCGCCCAAACTCATCATGATTTATGCATGTAATATATGTATAAGGCATACATTATATCTATATCTAATTGGTAAGAGAGCCTGTTTTTCTATTTACTGATCAGAGTTCGAATCTCCTAATATTTAAACGGAAGTCTGACGGTGTATCTGGATCAGCTAGCTTCTTCTAGTTTGACTTATAAGAATAAATTTTAAAAATCCTGCCTTGAAGGTGTTCTGGGCATAAAAAATAAATAAATAAATAAATAATAATAATCTATATCTGTTCCGTGATCGTCACTCAAATCGGAAGAGCAGGCAAAGACGAGAGGGAAGCAAAAGCCTAGTCCCATGCTGATTTTATAGATTAGTTTTTTTTTTGTTTTTTTTGGTTGCATAGTGCTAATACATAAAAGGACATACATGGGCGGACCTTGGGAGGAACTACCACCTCACCTCTTACTTTTATTCAACTTCCAAACCCTATATACATACACACACGAAAGTACAAAGGACACCTCCTTTTGTCTATGCAATATTGATTGGACAAGAATTCTGGTACAACTTTTCAGCCTAGATTAAGTAATTCGAAATAATATATATTTTCTTCGTTCATATCATTTATTTGATTAATAAATAGGGGAGAAATAAAATTAAATGAAAAAAGACAAAGTGAAACATATTTCTCTTATACCTCTTAATTTTTAGTAAATAGGGGAAACAAAAAACCAGCAAATTATTTTTCTTTTTATAATATGAAACCTACGCTAAATAAAAGAAAAATAAATAAAAAAATTGACACCTATAAAATGTTATTTTGCTAATATAACATGAAACAATTTCTTTTTATTTTTTTATTTTTTATTATTATATATAGTTTAGCCAAACATGATAGGACAAAATTCAGTATCTTTTTTCATCATTTCTGTTCTTTATTTAGCTAAACAAGAGAAAGAGTTTTTAATTTCTAAATCTTCAAACTGATTCTTATTATTAGTCCTTTCATTATAAATACAATTTTTTATCGCTGCCAATTTCCTTTTTTCTTATCTTATTTAAATTTAAAAATTAAAATATATCATTGTGTTTTATTAGCTCTCAAGATATCATTGTGTTTTTATAAAATATTAATTTCTTTGCTGAGAATAAATAAATAAATAAATATGAAGTGAACAATGAATGGTGAAAATATTAATGGGGGGAAATATTTTTGACATATAATTAGTAAGCAAGTCTATCATAGGGCAAGCTCGTGATTCTTTTCTCCAACATTTATTTTCATTATTCCACCAACTGAACCTTTATTTTAAATATGAAGTGAACTTTTATTTTCATTATATTTCAAGTATTTTTGACAAATAATTGAACTTTTATTTTATCAATTAATCCTTCATGTTGGTCCGATGTGATATATTGAGTTCTAAAATGACTAAATTGAACCAATTCAGAAGTGAGGCTTATTTTTTTATTTATTTTTTTTTAAAAAAAATTGTAGGCTTAATAAAAATAAAAATAAAAAGGTGTGTCAAAGATATTATTTACAGAATTTATAATAACTTGTTAGTTATAAGCTATTGTTATGTGGATGATGCTTATAGTACACACCTTCAAGTATGTAAAGTTGTGACATTTGGAAGGTTATTTATCACAACATGTCATAACTAAATATTCTTCAATCGTAATTAAAAAATAAAAATGAGTTATAATCAAACACCATGAGGTATAACTAAATATGTATAACTGAAAAAACTGAATCAAAATCTATATTGGGTTATAATCAAATCATAACTAATACCACAATAGATCGTACCCAAAGATCACATGTCATAACTAGAACATATGTGCCGATCAAAAAAAAATAACTAGAACATATGTTACACACCTTTTTAGAGGCATACCATAAAATCTCCTTGTTATGTGTTGCATTCTTATAAAATGAATTGAAAATTTTCATTTCATTTATGAAATTGAGAAGAAAAAAAAAAATGTTGCAAACCTAATAGTAACCTTGTGACTAATATAAAACGTCAACTCCTAAATCCGTCAAAATCTAAACTTGTTACATTTATATTCTTAAGTTATACATGTTTAAAAAAAACGTTAAAAAAAAACAAACAGAAAAAAATTCTTGTTTGGCGAGTGTGAAAGTTGAAATAATAAAATTCAAATGTAGGAGTCATTTTCTTTACTGTTGGACAATCTTCACCGTATTTAAAAGGATTTAATTCTGTTGTGTACAAAACAACAACAAGAATAAAAGAAATAGAGAAAATGGGAGAATTTGTTTGATTACAAAAATCAAACTCGAAATAAAAATAAATAAATAAAACCACAGATTTTATTTTGTTACAAAAACAAAATTAAAATCTGATTAAACAAACAAATAAAAACAGAATTAAATTAAACAACTTACTTGGTTAATTTATATGAATAATTTTTCTGATCAAGTCCAGTGTTTAACACTGTGTCCTTAAGACAGATTCGTCCTCTCCACGGTGCTTTCAGAATTCGGACGTCTATCTCCCAGGATGAAATGATCTTCCACAAACAATAGCAGCACTACTAATTGTTTGCCTTACGAACACACTAAGTGTTTACACTCTTTATTTTGAAAATAAAATGCAGCAAGATGAAGAATAGAATTAACAGAGGTGAAATACGAAATTTCTGAATGCAAAATATCAAATGAGGGTGGTCCTATTTATAGATGTGAAGGTGGCTCTTGGATTTGAAATAAACAGGTATGTAGCTCTTGGTTTTGAATTGAACAGGTATCATACCTGTTGGGTTTTGAATTCAAACAGATTTGAATTAATTCAAACAGATAGTAAAACGGGAAGGGCCCTGTTTGGGTGTGCATTAATTCCAAAACAGTTTATTGCCCTGTTTGGGTGTGCACTAATTCCAAAACAGGTTATTTCTGTTTGAAACCGGGAAGGGCCTTGTTTGGATGAACAAAAAATCCAAACCAAATTAATTTGAATTATGGATTTTATTTTAATAAAAAATAAAATTAAATTCAAATGTTTTTGGCCCAAAAAGATTAGAAGCCCAACCTAACCACACACCACACACCACGCACCCGCCCCCAAGCCCAGGCCCAACCCAGCCCGCTCGACCGGACGGACGGCGGCGGCGGCGCGCGTGAAAACGGGAAGGGCCCTGTTTGGATGTACAAGGCGATTTTTGGGTCCAATGGGTCTAGCCCATTTTGCCCATAACCTCTCCCTCTAAAACACTTGGGTACCCCTTGGGGCACACCCCAAGTATCTCACCCTAAGCCTTATAAACCCTTTCAAAACTTCCCACCAAATCAATGTGGGACAAGCCAATTTACCACCTTAAGGAATTTCCACCAAAACTCCATTTTCATGGTGCACACTTTGGCTTCAATTTCCCATTCACTCGGTAATGGTTTTGAGCAACCAAATATACCACGTGAATCACAACGCGGCATAGAACGCGTTACCACTTTGACCCGAGTAAATCGACACTCGGGGCCCACCTAAAAAATAGACCAAACTTGAGGAAAAATTAACCATTTCCAACATTTACAAGTACTAAGGAGTCTTTGTATATATATATATATATCCAAATAATTAACTGGCGATGCTGTCGATGATCATTCAAACATTTGCACATGAGAGAGACAGATGAAGACAACAATGGACGGAATTTTTTAGGAAGGGAAAATATACCAAATTAGGACCCACTGTAAAACCTATCCAACACATTGTTTGTTTGAAGATGTTTGGTTTTTTATTTTTCATTTTTTCCATCGCATTCTCCTTGCACACTTGCAAAATAATTTGAATAAATTACAATGGGTCATTGGGGAACAGATTTTTTAGTAATTTCTTAATTTTTTGATTAAAATATAAGATAAAAAAAAACTAAGGTAGTGTTTGGTTTAATTTTTAAATTAACAATTGGATCAAAAAAACATGCACTATAAAAAATTAAGGTTTTAAAGACCAAAATTTAAGAACAAAATTATTTTTTAGGAATCAAATATTTCTATGGCAAAAAGTGTCGTCATTATATTTTTAGCAAGGAAAATTAGACACTAGTGATGAATTATTATCTTTTTGAGACCAAATTTTTTTTCTTAAAAAATAAACCATTTTGAGACCAAATTATTTTGTGCCTAAAAATCAATTTATTAGTGATATTTTCAAAATTTTGTCACTAATAGCCTTGTTTTTGACTTTTCAATACAACATTTTCGTAACTATCCTCATGACAATTGAAATTGGTCCCTAAATGTATTTTGCAACAAAATTTTTACTTTTAGAAACCAAAACATTTAGTCTTTAATACTCTTATATGTTGAAGTAATATTTGGTTAACAAATTTTCAAAACTCTTTTTTAAATTGTTTTTTCTCTCTCCTCTCTCTTTTTTTTATTATTAATAAATCAATTAATCATTTTCTTTCTCTCCTCTATTCTCTCTCGTTCTCTTACATTTCACAAGTCAGTCAATCAATCAAATTTTCTCTCTCATCCATCTATTTAACTACAAAAAAAAAAAATTACAAATCATTCCAAAATTATTTTCAAAACTTATAATCAAACAAATTTTCAATTTTTAAAACTCTTTTCAACAACTTATCTTTTAACATACAACTCACAACTCAAAAAGCAAAACTCTTTTAAAAAACTAAACCAAACGAAGTCTAAATACAATGTTTTTTTATATAGTGAAGGACGAGGCTAAGTAAGAAAACTACAGTTGTGGTAATACAATCATATATATAAGAAATGAGAATATATACAGGATATATATAATATATTCTAACACCCACTCAAGCTTAAGGTGGTCTCACAGAGATCAACTTGAGCTTGGAAAGTAAGTTAGAAAAGCATCTTGAGGGATGAGCCTTAGTGAAGATGTCAGTTGTCTGATCGGCAGAGGTAACAAAGAGAAGATGAACAGTGCCTTCGTTAATATGTTGTCATATGAAGTGACAATCAATCTCAATATGTTTTGTGCAATCATGGAAGATATCATTATGTGAAATCTTAATAGCACTCTGATTGTCACAATAGAAATTAGTGGTAGCAGGATGAGAAACCCCCATATTAGAAAGAAGCCAATGAAGTCACACAAGCTCCTGAGTAGTGTCAGCAAGAGCATGATACTCAGCCTCAATACTAGAACGAGCAATAGGAGTTTGTTTCTTGCTACGCCAGACAATGAGAGAGTCACCCAAGAAGACACAGAACCCTGTAGTAAAACGGCGGTCGGTAGGATCCCCTGCCCAATCTGCATCAGAAAATGCATGTAACTATAGAGAAGAGTAAGCAGAGCAGTGAAGACCATGAAACATAGTGCCTTTAAAATAGCGCAAAATGAGAACCAAAGCATCATAGTGTGGTGAACGAGGAACAACCATGAACTGATTGACAATGTGAACAGCATAAGCAATATCTGGAAGAGTAACTGTAAGATAAACAAGACTACTAACGAGCTGACAATATAAAGTAGCATCAAATAACATGTGTCCATCAAAAGGTGTGAGACAAGTCTGAAGATCAACTGGAGTAAAGGCAATCAATCTTGCAATTGGTGAGACCAGTACAAGCCAAGAGATTAGAGGTATTCTTGGCGTAGGAGAGAAAATAACCAAAGGAATCATGAGAGATTTCCAAGCCGAGGAAGTAGCTAAACAAACCCAAATCCTTCATCTCAAACTGGCAACTAAGAAACAATTTGAGGCTAGAGATACCCACTGTATCATCCACATAGAGAAGAAGAAGAATAGTACCATGTTCCATCTTACGAATAAATATGGCAGAATCATAAGCACTGGAGGAGAACCCAAAGCCATGATGGTATAACTAAACTTGGAAAATTAGACACGAGGAGATTGTTTCAAATTATACAAAGTGCGGTAAAGTACGGTAAAATTTGTAGACTTTAGGCAACGAAGTAGAGGAACTAAGAGGAGGTTGCATGTAAACTTCCTCAGTGAGATCACCATTGAGAAATGCATTCTTAACATCCATTTGACAAAGACTCAAGTGGCGAGCAGCAGCAACTACAAGTAAGCTGCAAACTAAAGTAAGATGATAAATATGAGCAAAAGTCTCCTCATAGTGAATGCCATATTCTTAAGTGAATCCCCGGCAACAAGATGAGCTTTGTAACACTCAATAGAACCATCAGAGTGGGTCTTGATATTGTAAACCCATTTGCGGCTAACAACACTCTTTTTAGGAGGAAGATCAGCTATATCTCAGGTATGAGTTTTCTCAAAAGCTTGTAGTTCGTTAGTCATAGCTTGTTGTTGTAGAACTACGATGAAATCATGAAGAAGGACAGAAGGTTGTTTTACCCGAGTAGAATGACAAAAAGGTACCTCAGGTGTAGAAGACGATGTAATGGAATCAAGGGATGCATGAGGTTCACTGTGAGAGTGAATGAATACAAGACTAGGAAATGAAATAGGAGTAGGAGTAGGAGCAGGAAGTCGAGCAGCAGCAGGACCAGGAGGCAGAGTAGAATCCTCAAGATGGGCCGAAGTCAACATGTCAGAAGTACTGTTTGTATCGAGCTCATCAAATAAAAGAGATAGATCTGTAAAGAATGATATAGTGGGAGGAGTGAAGAAACGGAATTGAGATATAGAGGAGAACATCATGTGTTCCCAAAATATCACATGACAAGAGACACGAAGACGACGAGAAAGAGGATCCTAACAACGATAGTCTTTATGTTTAATCTCATACCCCAAGACGCAACACAGACGGACACGAGGTTCTAACTTGGAACGCTCATGTGGTTGAAGAATGACAAAACAAGCACATCCAAACACACGAAGACCAGTATAGACAAAAAGTGTGCCATACAAACGCTTTTATGGGGTTTGATTGTCGATGATAAGGAAAGGGACACGGTTGATTATATAGACGGTTGTGAGAGCAGTTTCCTCTCAAAAACACTTAAGACAAGAATAAAAGATTAAGAGAGCACGGACAATGTCTAAGATATGGTGATATTTGCACTTAGCACGACCATTTTGTTACGAGATACCAGGACAAGAATAGTGAGGTGTGTTATTTTGACGAAGGAATCTCAAAAAATGAGTTTCTTTGTATTCCAAGGCATTATCAGCACGAAAAATTTTAATGGAGGAAAAAAACTAAGTCTTGACAGTTTGTGAAAAATCATGGTATATTTGTTGTATCTTAGAGCGAGATTTCATAAGAAATAACTAGGTAAAACGAGTGAAATTATCAAAAGAAAAATAACAAAGTATTTAGATCCCCTATAGTGGCATTAGGTAAAGGCCCTCAAACATCGAAATGTATGAAATCAAAAGGTGCATAAGACATAGAGGTACTAGTATTAAATGGTAAAGCAGGTTGTTTTGCAAGTTGACAAGATAGACAATTTGCTTTATCATTTGGAACAAGACCTAACTAACCACTGGAAATTAGAGATCGTAAACAACCAAAAGATACATGACCTAATCGAGAATGCCATAAAACAAGAGGAGAACTAGCAGTAGCAGGAGCAGCAGTCTGGACAGAGGAAGGACTAGATGAGGGAATGCGAAGATAGATAAGCTCGTACAAACATCCATGTCTATGACCTATCACAAGAATTTTTTCCATCTTCGGATCCTGCACAACACAACCAGTTGGAAAAAGTAGAACAGTGAGGCCAAGATCACAAAGTTGAACAATTGAAATAAGATTAAGCGTAAGGTTGGGGATCAGATAAGTGTGAAGAAGATAGACATTAGAAGTAAAAATATGACCTATATGACTAACATGCATTTGAGAGCCATCAGCAGTGTGAGTGACAGGTAAATTAGAAGAAGATGTAGTGGAAGAGAAAATTGTAGGGTCAGAAGTCATAAGGTTGCAACAGGCTTAATCAAAATACCAAGCAGAGGTACTTGGAGTGACTGAGAGAGTAGTAGAGGGTGTACCAGAGATAGTAATAACCTTTTTTACAGTAGCTTCAATGCCTTGAAGAGTGTAGGTTGGTGAAGGTCTATGAGTGAAGGAGAAGCCAGGGGAAACTGCAATAGATGCAAAATTATTCGAAGAGTGATATCACCTAGGTGTTATAGATGATCCAAAATAGCCATGGTACTGAGGAGAACTGTCTGATCGAGCCATGATAAAGCACCAAGGAAGCAAACCCAAATAGAAACAGTGTTATAGGAACAAAACCACGAAAAATAGAGTGTTCCAATGAATTCAAAACGTTGAAAATATGTGAGAACTAGGCTGAACCGGCCAAAAAATCACTATTGGACCAATCTGAGAGTGAACTGGCCTGAGAGAGCTAGGGATGATATCACACGACTGCTATGAAGTGTGCATGATGACATCAACAAAAGAGATAGAAGAATGAGGCACTGGTGTCTATAAGGCTGATGTCAGGTGAGGTCAACAACATAGGTGGCGTCAACTAGGATGAAGAAACGCAAATTATTAGAGCAACTAGTGCGGCGTAATGGCTTACGTCAGAAAACACGTAAGTTACAATAGTGTGTATGAGTAAGATGTCAGCAAGCGTGGCATGCTTTTGTTAGCCTGTATAATTAGTAGAAAGCGGAAGCGGTTGACACACTGATGCTTTCGTTGGCGTGTGAGAGCGCGTGGATGGGTTTTGGTGACAAAATTGGTGGCATTGGAATCGTGAGGAGATTCCGAGCAAGATGGTGTGGTTTTCTTAAAAGAATGATGGGTACGAGTCATGAACAGTGGCTGCACAGTAGCGGAAAAACAATGGTGTTTTTCAATGATGTTTGCTGGAAATGATAGAACCTTACAGCTCTGATACCATGTTAGAGAAGTTAGGAGGGGGGGAGGGAGAGAGAGAGAGAGACAAATCTGTATATTGAATTAAACAATAAATACAATGTCCTATATCGTGAAAGATGAGGCTAAGTAAGGAAACTATGGCTACGATAATACAATCATAAATATAAAGAATGAGAATATATACAGATCTCTCTCTCTCTCTTAGTAATGGTTTTTTTTTTTTTTTTTTACAAAAAGATGTGCAAAATGTAGAGTGAATGGAAAAAAAATCTTTTGACTTTTAGTATTTATTGACTTTTTGACTATTTTAGTAATTAATTGATTTTTAAATTATTTTGTAGAATTGCCAAACGTGGTCTGCTCAACTATGACGTGTTTTCGAATTGTCCTCCAATTTTTAAAAACTTAACACTTAACCCCATTCAAATATATAAATTATAAATGGCATAAACACTATTAATAAAAAATATTAATTTATAAGGTTTTCATTATCTTCCTTAACTAATATTTAAGACCCAACCACCTACTTCTTTTCTCTATTTCCCTTTCCCTCAACACCTACCATCTCAACTTCCCCTTTCCCCCTTCCCCTTCCACTAACGGCCTCCCATCCGTTCTACTTACGGCCTCTCATCCTCCGTAACCTACTCTATGAGCATTGATTCCAAGATAGATCAAATGCAAAATTGTTTACAAGACAAATCAAAAATCCAAAGAAAATAAAGGCAATAGATGAAATATTTGTTGGAATAATCTTCTGTTAAAATTAATAAATTGAAACAAATCAACAAATAAAATAACTTACGTACCAAATTTATTTTACCAAACAGAATAAACAATTAAAAGATCAAATTGAGTGTGTGATACTTTGTCTTTAAGACAGATTCACCCCGCTATGGTGCTTACGGTTAAGTGGCGTCTATCTCTCAGGATACAATGATCTTCACAAATTATAGTAGCACTCCAAACAATTTTTTCGGAGAATAAAAAACCTATGTTCTTACTCTCTGAATTTTTTCTAAAAATTATATGAAGATTATATCATGCAAGAGAGCAAAAGTAGAAGGAAAATGAAGAATTTCGGATTGAATGACTACTGGAAAATGGAGTGCTATATATAGACCCGAACAGGTCTGAAAACCAAACTAAACTGGTGGATTTTTTGAATGAACAGGTGCAACAGATAACTGCTAGGCAGTTTCTATCTATTGGAAAACTGCTGGCAGATTTGAATCTGTCTGGCAGTTTTGAATCTATCTGGGTGAAAACTGTTCGGACTTATTGAACTATTGTGGAATTCGAATTTGAAAAGAGGCACACATTATGGACAAAAGATTTTGAATTTCAAATTCAAATTACATTGGCATAAAATTTAAATTAATTTTCCCGCTAGAAATTTGAAAAAAATTCAAATAAATTTTGTCTGAAAAATTAATACTAGAATCGACCCGACCCACAACCCACACTCGCGCTCGGCTCGGCTCAACCGGCCGGACGGCAATGGCGACGCGTGAGTGTGGTGGTTTGGGCTAAGGTTCACTTTGTCCATAACTCCTCCCTTCTACAAACTTGGGGTGCCCCTTAGGGCCCAACCCAAATGTTGCTACCTAGAACTTATATACACACATAAGATCTCTTAAGTTTCCAATGTGGGATAACCATTTCAAGGAAACCCACATTTTACTTCTTTAAATACGAACCTGAAAATGACATCAAGTTCTCATTCACTAAATGGCTTTGACGAACTGCCTTCACCGTATGACTTGTCACGCGGCAAGAAAAACGTCACCTTTTCGGACCTATCCCAAAAGACGTGTGGACCCCACTCAATTTTAGGCTCAAAGATGGCCCAAATTAAGCCTATATAAAACCAATTTTCCAACAATCCCCCACACGAATGGAATTTGACAGAGAGAAAATGCAACAACATGATCTAATTATAGAGAATACATAAATTGAAAATATTCTGTGAATGATAGGTAACTTTTGGCTTT